AATGCTCCTGTGATGGTAAAAGGAGTCAATCTTTCTTTCCACCAAATGGAAGGCTCATTTTATATCTGAGTTATCACTCTAGATGGGGCTTTGGGATGATGGGTTTTAGAGACGGGGGAGAAAGGAATTAGTTGAGAAATGCTGTGAGCTCTGGTCCTGTGTAGACGGTCTCAATCGAGTCAGTGTTTAAAGGTGAGAGACTAGCCTTGTGGATCACTACCTCGGGACTGGAAAGTAAAACCATCGTGGAGAGTTCAGAACACTGAGATGGGGGTCTGGCTTCTTGTTTATGGGCCACAGCTGTGGGTCAGGGTGGCGTGTGTTTTGTCCAGCAGTTGAGTGGAGCCAAATGCTTTCTTGTTCCTGCTGGCTGATTGACCCTTTGTAAAGAGGTGGTAACAATGGCATCAGTGTAAGGTGCTCTGTGTACTCGGGGACCAGTGGACTCATGGAATTGTGGACCATTACTGTGTCCACATGTGATGCTCTCTGCCGTCTTATCGCTCACATAATGTCTCCCCCCACCCAATTATATGACAAAGGCAATTGGGAGTCCCTTTCTTCTGTTTTGTGCCAGAGTGATACTGCCATTCCAGGCAGGTTAGAGCCTTCTTATGGTCCTTCAGGTCCATCCGCTGTTGGAGGGCGATGGTCTCGTGAGGCGCACTGTTTCCTATGAGCGTGTAAGTGGACCCGTATGCTGCTGTCCATCAGACAGCACAGCTCTGCCACTTAGTATGCTGGAAATAAGGGCAATCTTTGAAAATGGATTCCTTTCTTTTCCACTTTTAAAATGTGATTTTATGTGTTTGGATGGTCTCTCTCTTTCTCTCTCTCTCTCTCTCTCTCTCTCTCTCTGTGTGTGTGTGTGTGTGTGTGTGTACTACATGTTTGCCTGGGTCCTGCAGAGGCCAGAAGAAGCCATCAGATTCCCTGGGACTGGAGTTACAGGCGGTTGTGAGCCACTGTGTGGTTGCTGGGAATTGAACCTGGGTCCGCTGGAGGAGGGGACAGCGCTCTTAATCACAGACACCTCTCTAGACCTGAAAGTACATACTTTGGTAAAATTTGGTAAAATTCTCAGGCTTTGCAACTCAGATCCTTTGTTCCGCCGACCTTGTAGAGAACTAACTGGTTATTTTGATTGTCTCAGGGAGACACGGAGGCCTAGACTGTCCCTGTCTCCACACTTCCCAACATGGGAAAACTAAAAACCATATATACACCCCGGCTGGGAGTTCCTACACAGCATTGCCATGGCCTTGGCCTTCGGTGGCTTTGTGGCTGTGGTCTTAGCCATTGGTGTCTTCTCTCCCATGCTAAATCCGCTTTTTTTTTTTTTTTTAAATAGTTATTTGGTAGTACCGTTTTCCTCTAAAACTCCTGCCCCACACAGTTTTCTCTTCCTGGCAGAGACCGATGCCCACATTGGCTTTTACCTTGATGGGATGGGTGTTGGACGTTTCCCTGCAAAACTCAAACCCGGGCCTCCCTGTGCTGATCATTGATTGTTTTCCCCTTAATTCCCATTCGCTGAGGTTCCCATTTCAGCTGTTGTACATGCAGTTGATTAGATGGTTTTATTCCGTCAGAACGGCATTCCATGTTAAGGGTTATCGGTGTGGAGCCCTCGACTGTTGTTTTGAAGATGGAGCAAGCTCAATAGGCAACCTTCTGTCCACGAGTGAACTCCACCCCTTGAGGTGTTCCCACTGCGCCACTGGGCTGGTAGAACTTGGGAAATAAGACATCATAAGATGGTGACAGGCGATGTTCCTTTCCTGCGCTGCCGTGACTAATTGCCACTGACTTGGTGGCTCGAAATAATGGGGAATTATTCTCCAGTATCTGATATCCAAAGTCCAAAATCAACTTTATCGGTTCCACATCAACACGGTGATAGGGTCACATTTCCTCCTGGGCCCTTGGGGAGGTCTTGACTTTGTTCTGCTCTCTGGTGGCTGTACAGTCCTTGTCTCCTTTGTGAAGCCTTCTTCTTTGTGTGGATTGTGTGCCTGTCTGATATTTTTCATCCTCTAAGCCATCTGTGAAGGACTCTGGATCTCACTCCGTGGATGCAGGGTCATCTCCCTATCTCAAGACCATGCCATGCCATGACAAAGACCTCTTGCTTAGTTAGACAACATTTACAGGTTCCAGGGACCTGTCTTCAGTTTCCACACTATTATTTACCACAGACCTCTGTGAGATAGCTCAAGGGCAGGGCTGAGGTGTTGCCTGCTGTGAGTCATGGGAGGTCCTCCCTGCTGAGTCATGGCTTAACCCCCCCCTCATTCCCTTCCCAACCCCCCATTCCCTTCCCACCCCCCATTCCCTTCCCACCCCCCATTCCCTTCCCACCCCCCATTCCCTTCCCACCCCCCATTCCCTTCCCGGGAGTTGAGAGAAGGTGGAGATGATTGGGGAATGTAGACATTCTTTGGCTTAAGGTGGCTCAATTTAGGATTATTTGACTACAATAGCACAAAGGTGATCCCTATTCAATAAAAAAGTATACTTCTCTGTTTTACATTTGGGTCATTTCCTGAGCTGGCAGTGTGTGGGTCAGTACCCTTTCCCTATCAGTGACCATGAGTGTGACAGTTCATTTCCTACCTCTCGCTGTACGACTGAGCCAGGAGGGATGGTATGTTAAGGGTATGCAGTGTGTTTTCTACATAGGGAAGTTGGCCAACTTGGGTTTATCAGGACATAGATCCATGACAGGAAGAGGAGCCTGCGCCTGCTAGTGTTAACTGTCAACCTGACAGAATCCAGTGTCACCGTGGAGACTGATGTCTGGCCATGCCTGTGGGGGATCGTATGAACTGTCAGAAGTCACTGAGGCTGTAGAGAAGGGCCGGAGTGGAAGGGTGCTGGTAGGAGGTGGCCTTGTGTGGCTGGCAAGGGGGTGGTCATGGAGCCTGGAAATGCACTCTTAGAAGCTTGTATCAGGCAATGTTTACCTCTGTCCCCTGGGGAATTCATTAGTGCCTTGTGGCTGCTATAACAAATCCTCACAAGCTTGATTGCTTAAAGCTGTGAGAGATTAATTCTCTTAGGGCCTGGGTACCACAGGTCTGAAATCACAGCGCTGCCAAGGCTTTTTGTGCCTCCTGGGCCTCCTTCCTTTCCCAGTTTCTAGTAGTTGTTGGAGTCCCTTGGCCCATCACTCTCTACCTCCTTCACACCAGCTCCTCTGTTGGGCCATGTACCAACATCCAGCTGTGGCTATGGTAAAGGAACATCTGGAAGGGTATAGCTCTCTTAATTCAGGTTAGTCTTGTCATATCCCTTAAGCATATCTACAGAGTCATTTTTCCAAAATAAAGTCACATTGAACTGACCCAGGGATTAGTTCTTAGACGGTCTTTATTCAGCCCAGGACAAGCAGTTAGTGAGCTAAATAAATTATCTCCAAAGTAACTGAATGCTCTGCTTTTTTTTTTTTTTAAAGGAGGTCCTATTTCTGCTAGCTTTTAGACTATTGTTTACTCGTTGTATTTTCAAGACTTATTGCCAAAGAGTGCCATTTTAAAAACACTCATACAGAGTCAGCAGAGGCAGAACTCAGTTGTGGATTTTCAGCATCCTCCCAACCGCCCAAAGATAGATCTTCCTGTCTATGTGCTAGGTATAAATATATGTACATGCATATATGTATGTGCACGTGTCTGCACGGGTGTCCGTATGTGTGTGCATGGATACCAGCAGTCAACTGTGGCTGTCATTCTTTGGATTATGTCCCCTTTGTCTTTTGAGACCAGGTCTCTTAGTTGCCCGGAACTTGCCCAGTAGGCAAGCCTGATTGGCCAGTGAGCCCTAGGGATCCACCAGTTCGTGACTTCTCCACTGATCGCATTACTAGCATGCATCACCATGCCTGGCCTTTTCTTTTCCTCCTCCTGTGGGTTCTGGGGATTGAACTCAGGTCCTCAGGTGCAGGGTAAGCTCTTTACCGACCTACCTTTCATTTACGGGCAGAGCTGCACACATGTGCTTGATTGCACTTAGTGCGCTGTGAAACAGGTTCAAAACCCGGCACCTTCTGTTCCCTTCAGTGTAGTAGTCCAGGGCACAAGGGAGGCAGCGTGTTAGTGAACTCGGGGAGATGGGCCGCTGGCAGGGTGAGCTGGAGTCCTGTTCGCAGATGACCACCCTGGGAGGGGCCCGAGGGGGAGTGCAGGTGTGCCTTAGGACCTGGAGGGTGAGAGGTGACTCTCTCAAAGGAAAGAGAGGGCTGGGATACTGACAGTCTGGGTGGAGAATAGTCTCCCCCTTCTGGCCTCCCTCTTTTCTTTCCGTGTTGAGGGCAAGGCTGTTATGTGGAAATGGTTCAATAGGAGCATCTGTGGGTGGTCATATGATATGTAAAGTTGGTCTTGGCACCGGGGTGAAGGGTCACATGGAGTCACCACTGGAGGCCAGACAGGGTGGGACCTGGGGGGGGGGACTCTGCAGGTCACAGAGTGAGTGGGCAGAGCTGAGCCTGAGCAAGCTGCATCTGTGGGTGCCCCCAAGTGTGCTCTAGAACTGGAGATGGAGTTCCAGGGGCAGCTGTTCCTGAAATGGGTCCGTGGGGTTCCCCAGACCTGAAGGAAGGCAGGGAGTCTAGGGAGCAGGTGGCAGAGTCCTCCCTTCCAGAAGAGGTCAGTGTCCCAGCTTAGCACACTCCAGGGGAGAGGCAGGTCTGACGTGGGTTCTTTGCTGAGTTGTCCGGACTCAAATCCTGTTCTCTTCTTTAATGAGGATTTTTTTTTTTTTTTGACATTCTAGTATTTTTCATCTGATGCTGTTTGATGAGCTAGTTAGCTGTTTTATTTGTGGTGCTGGGATGGGGACTCACGGCCCTTCCTACGCTAGGCAGGGCCCCGCACTCCGCGGCAGACCCAGGTGTCTCCTGGGCTCCATCTTTCCCAGGGTTCGTGAAACCCTGGAAGGGGACGAACGAGCTTTGCCTGCAGTGTCTAGTAACAGCCATGCTTTCCGGTTCGCCTTAGGTCGCCATCAAGGTCATCGATAAGAAGAGGGCCAAAAAGGACACCTATGTCACCAAGAACCTGCGACGAGAGGGCCAGATCCAGCAGATGATCCGCCATCCCAACATCACGCAGCTCCTGGACATCCTAGAGACGGAAAACAGCTACTACCTGGTCATGGAGCTGTGCCCCGGCGGTAACCTCATGCACAAGATCTACGAGAAGAAGCGCCTGGATGAGTCCGAAGCCCGCAGATACATCCGGCAACTCATCTCTGCGGTGGAGCACCTGCACCGGGCTGGGGTGGTCCACAGGTAAGAGGCAGGCATGCACTGATCCCCGGGTCCGCACCGAGTGGACACTCCTAGCGAGGCCTAACAGTTGCGGCCTCTTCCAGTTTCTTGGTTTTGCTTTGTGAGTCTGAGAAGGGTTCAGACAGTTGAGTCCAAAGCCAGAGGGCCTGGGTCTTGGCTCTGCCCTTTAATGGTTGGTTGTTTCTGCCTGGTACATGACTTGACCTCCTGGAACTCAGTCTGTCTGTGTGTGAAATGGGAGTGATGGATGATATGCATCTCTCTGGTGAGCTAGTGTTGGGCTAGAGCACTGATGATATTTGGTACTGAGGAAGGGACTGGCAAGGCTTACCACTGTCCTTATCATTTCCAAAGGCAGCCATCCGGGCGAAACACCCCGGCAAAGGCTCATGTCACAGTCTGTCACCGTGGAGACATCCAAAGTGGCAGGAGCTCGAAGCAGCTAAATATCACGTTCACGGTGCAGAGCAGGGGCCAGTGAGTGCTCCACACTAGTCATCAGCTCATCTAACCCACACATACATGGCTCGGGGATCGGTGACGCCCGCACTAATCAAGGCAGTCCCCAACAGACATGCCCAGGAGCCAGCCTGATCTAGATCCCTCATTGAGACCCCATCCACATGGTTCTAGAGTTGACAATCAAAACCAAAATGCATTTGTATGAGCGTCTGAAAATTTCAAAGAATAAACAAAAGTGTTATTAAAAAATAAATAGAAAATGTACATAACAAAAACCGAACCACAAAATTCAAGGACCGTAGCAGGGACCAGTCGCCTGGCTTGCCTCATAGAACAGTTGGCGAGAAGCTGGCATGGATGCGTTTACGTTCTGCGGCCCGTCTGATGGCAGCTGCTCTGCAAATGCTTTATTGCACTGGGTGGAGTCACCATTCGGACTGTGAACTTGCCCCTGAAAGAGGGGCATTCTCCAGAAGCCTACACACCTTGACAACAGTCACAGTCAAGGAAATCAAGCATGGTGACATTCACTTAAAGAACACATTGAGCACTTGCTGCTGCACCTGCAGGGGACTGAAGTTTGGCCCCCAGCACCCATGCTGGGGGCGGGGCGGGGCGGGGTGGGGGCTCATGTTGCCTGCAACTGCAGCTCCAGGGGATCTGATGCCCTCTATGGGTTCTGTGCCCACAAGTCACATGCACATACCCCACATTACCGACCACACATGCATATATGCATATCTTTAAAAATAGAAATAAAATCTTGAGACATTCTGGGGAGCGTGGCACACGGAAGGCAGAGGCAGGTGGCTCTCTGTGAGTTTGAGGCCGTCCTGGTTTACATACTGAGTTCCAAGCCAGCCAGGGCTATGTAGTAAGACCTTGTCTCAAAAGAAAACAAACAAAATAATAATAATAATAAAAAAACTAACCCCAACTAACAAAAACCAAACAAACAAAAACAACAACGAAAGGAGTGTGTGTGTGTGTGTGTGTGTGTGTGTGTGTGTGAGAGAGAGAGAGAGAGAGAGAGAGAGAGAGAGAGAGAGAGAGGTGTGGAGCTCTCTAATGAAATGTCTGGCTACTTTTCATATTTATGTAAAATTGAGGTATAATTATAAAATTCACAATGTAAAATACCCATTTTAATGGTTTTACGTATTTTTAGAGTTGTGCAACCATCACCACATCCAATTTTAGTAGTTTCTTAGCCCTCACCAAGAAGCCCTGTTCCTATGGGACCATTCTTCCCGTAGGAATTTGCTAACTCTTCATCTTCTGCCTGTCTCTGTGGAATTGCCTAGTCTAGTTATTTCACATAAATGGGACCATAGGCTACAGGGTCTCTTGTTGGTGACCCGGGCAGCCTAACGCTGTTCAGATTCCTCCGTATTGTGTTAGTGCTTTCTTCCTCTTCACAGCTGAGTAATATTTCAGTGTGCTACTACACCTCAGTTTATCATCCTCTCCATCTGCTAACGGACATTGTGAATAATGGGGTCTTCATGTGTTTCCACTTCTGCTGCCCCTGGGGGATTTTTTTTTCTTCACATACAACTTCGAATGTCGCCTCTTAGCTCTCTGGAAGTCATTCATTCATTTGTTCATTCGCTTATTTATTTTTCCTGATCAGTGGAGGTCCCTTAAGCAATGAACTCCAGCACTTCCCAGCACTTCCCAGTTCTACAGGGCTGTACCCTCCCTAGTGTCTTGCCTCTGTGGGATCCTCTGCCTGTTGTGTCTGAACCCAGGTGCAACTTCAAGGACACCCTGTTGTTTACAGCTTTTCTGGAATGGCTTTGGCTTGTCACTCCCTCCATTTACCCCCTGCTGAGTGAGGACCCCCCCCCCCCATACAAGCAGCCTTAGCCACACATTCTCTGACACTCATGCTCTGTTAGAACTCTTTAGGTCAGTAAGGAAGGGGACATTCATGAATCTGCAGCGTGTGGCACTGCTTTTGGCTTGTGTGACCTTGTCTGTGCCCTGCCTGTTAAGGGGAAGCGAAGAGGAAAAGATGCTAGGCTCCTGCTAAGATGCCAGGGGCAGAAACCTCAGGAGTGAGTCAGCCTGGACTACAGACTCAGTGGGGACCGCAAGGGGCATAGTGTTCCCTGGGACCCCATGCTTTTTCCCAGGGTTCTGTGTTAGATAAGACAAGTGCGGGTCTCCTCTGGTAACAAAGGAAGCTGAGGTGACCCTGTGAGGTGCACATGGGTCTGCCCTGCAGGAAATTGTCAATAGCCCCTCTAAAGCAATGTCTAACAAAATCCAATCCCTCCGTGCAATTACTGTCAGAATGTCAAAGGAAGGAATTTAATAATGTTTTGATAGCAGAGACAGGATGCTTTTCAAAAAGCTCTCATCTCCAGGTTTCTCCCCTTCCCTCTCTCTCCTTGGAAATAGCTTTATAACCCAATACTGACTAGGGCTCAGGCCTTTTAAAGTTGGAAGAGAGCAAGGAGAAGCAGACAAGTATAGCATGCTTTTCTTTCTGGAACTCACGGTGTGTGTGTGTGTGTGTGTGTGTGTGTGTGTGTGAGAGAGAGAGAGAGATGAGAGAGAGACAGCACATGTATGTGTGTGAACGGTTACATGTGTTTATGTGTGTGTGCATGTGTATGTGTGTGAGCGTGTTACATGTATGTGAGCATGTGTATCTGTGAGCTTGTGTGAGCGTGTGTGAGCATATGTATGTTTTTGAGCGTGTTAGGTGTGTGTGCGTGTGTGTTTATGTGTGTGTGTGCATGCATGCAGGGGCACATGCATGTGCAGGCTGCAGGTTGATACTTGGTCTTTCTCCGTTGCTTTCCCCTTGTTTTTGAGACAGTCTCTCTCTGGAGCTTACTGATGGGATCCCACCAGCAGGCGGCCTTTGTTTCTTCCTCCTCGTGCTGTGGTTGCAGGCAGGTACGCCTGTGCCTGGCTTCGATGTGGGTGGTGCGACCTGAACTCAGATTCTCACGCATGTACAGCAATCACATTAGTGCCTAAGCCATCTCCCCAGCCCCCTGGAAGTCTGTTAGCATGTGGCACCATTCATGGATGTGGGGGATGGGTTGTTATCATAGATTCACAGGTGACTCTTATCCAGACATCTTGACTTTGAAAAATTCCATCTAAGTGACTTTTAATGTTTTGTTTGTTTGCTTGCTTGTTTGTTTTAATTTAGGGGCCATCAGCCTATTTTTGGTTGTCACTCCTTTGGTCTCCATTTTACTGCAGTGGTGGAGACTTTTCTTTCTCATGAGGTAGTGGAGAAGTAAAACTTATAAATTATTCTGAGAAGTTAGCATTTCAGAGAAACCTTGGAGTGGGAAGGATGGGGAGGGTCACCACGGGCTGGGCTGCTTGTGGGCCTTCAAAGGCTCCTGGTTCTTTTTTTTGAGTTCTGAGGATTCGAACCTCACACCCGTGCATCAAGCGCGGCACCCACTGAGAGTTGTTGCCCAGCCCCCCCCCCCCCCCCCAGTCTGCTTTATTTTCCTGCCTCCAGAATGCTCTCCCGGCAGCATCCACAGACCCAACCACACACACAACCAACCAGAGCCAGCATCCGCAGACAGAAGTCTGCTCCTTACAGGAGGGTCCTGGGGTCCCCAGCAGTTCTTGGAGGTGACAGACAGGATCCCCACCCCCTCACCTGCCTTCCCTTCCCCTCTGCTTGCTAAGAAACAAGTTCTAAAAGTTAAAAGGATTTATGCAACCTGCCCTGGCTGCCTGCTTCTTGTCAGCCTGAGAGAACAAAGGGCCCTCTTCTCAGGAGGAGGACACCTTTCCAGTGTTGAAGAAGGAGGAGGGTCAGGCCCTGGGCAGGGAGGTGCTAACACTTGTCTAAGCAAGGCTCCCAGTTCCCCTTTGATCACGCATCCCTTTCTTCTGGCTCTGCAGGCCTGTGGCTTGTCTCTTCCTGCTCAGGGATGGTAGGTATTATGTTACCCTGGAGTACTGTGTCCACAGGCTTTGATTGGAGTCTGTTACTTTGAATGACCAGATGAGTTTCCCATCATGTTGTTCCTGTGGGTTCAAGTTAAGAGTCCTGTATACAACAGGATGCTTTTTGCCTGGTCTCTGTTTTCTGCCCAGACTCCTGCTTCCACTTGAGCTCAGCCAAGAGGACTGGGAAGGAATATGGAATGAATTCAGCTAGTGTCAACCTCAGCTCTAGGATAGTACTTTTCTGGGAGCAGTCCCCAATTCTTTCTGGAATATTCCATAGTCTCCCCAAGATTTCAGAGGGAGTTTCTTGGTTCACTTAGTGTGAATTTTTGACTTTATTTGTTATTACTTTTTATTTTATTTTATTCTGGTTAGCAATTTGCTTGTGGGGCATGATAGGAAATAAAAATTTCATTTTAAATAAACAGATCAGGCCTAACAGGTTGTAGGTGTGCTTTACCACCATGGCATCTTGTAAACAATCAGATTTATAGATCAGTTGGTCTTAGTATAGTGCTTCTAAAGGTAAGACCTAGCTAAGACTCCAGATCGATACTAAGAGCCTGCTGCCTTGGGGAGCTGGAGACTCTGCCCCCTCT